TTGTATGATAGTTTGCACATTCTGTTAAGATTCCTTTTTTTTTTTCTTTTTTGGTATTGGAATGTAAATACTCTTCCAATCTGTTGGCCACTTTGAATAGTTTTCTGGATATGCAGATTCCATCTCCCTATTGCTTTCTCTGGGAGAATCCCCTGTTTTCTGTTTATTAGAAACTAGAGTTCATAAGATACCCATAGGGCAGTCCTAGCAGAATTCCTAATAGCCAAAACTGATGGTGTTCAGATTAGTAGTTCAGTAGCAAACTACTATTTCCTTGCTCCTAATAGTCTTCTAGTACCTCACTAAACTAAGGGCTCAAGGGGCAGTTAGTGAAGAATCCTGCCTTAGTTTTGGATTTTGATGTGCTTATGGAGTGTTACAGATCTATGCCAATATGTATCTATCTTGATATCTTAGGTGTTGCTGTTGGCACCTGATTCAATTAGGAATATCTTAAACATAATTATAATAGCTTGTGCTATTTTGCCAAGTTATGGCTTTCATTCTCAAGAAGAACATTTAGCTCCAATAGGAAGGATATACATGCTCCACTTTTTAAAAAAATTGACTTTGGCCCTGCTAGCCAAGACCACAGTCATTCAGCTACTGTTACTGCACCATGAATGTAGGACACCTATCTTTTCAAGGTAGGCTCACTGCCTTTAAAACTTTACAAGATGTGAAGTGGTGGTATGCAATTCTCCACACCTAGGATGAGATGCTACATATGTGCCTGCATGTGCATTTCCAGGACCTAAGTATTTGGGAAATACTTCTTTCTATTTGAGAGAGTGAAAAAAGATATAGGCACTTCAAGTAAGGAAGAGAAAAATTGATCATGGCTCACTGACATCATGTTTATTCAGATTCTTAGTTTTTGCCAGTATGCTAACCTCTAAAGAAATTATCCTTTATTTCACCTCCAACCTGGTGCCTTCTAGATGTATTGGAATTGGCTCCCATAACAACAAGCCAACAAGGCTAATCACACATTGAGAGAGTACCAGTTTGATGCCTAGTGCCCCCTTGAACACTATTTCAATAGTTACACTTTCTTCAACTTTATAGTTTGAGTATTTTATATGAATTGTTACTCCCATTTTACGACAAGCTCACTGGATTTTGGAAAAGAAAAAATATTTAATCTAAAAAAACCCACATTTCTATTCAGCTTTTTTCAAACATATTAGAGAAGCTTTATATTTTGACACCAAGCCCTGGGAGGAGAGTTTAACAAAGAATCTTGCCCCTTAGTAACTTCCCAGCATGGTAGCCTATATATTGTTTTGACATTCTAGAAGTTTTACAGTGTTGGAATATTGTCTCTCCAGCCTATTAATCTTTAGAAACTATGTGTACCATTCCAAAAAAAAAAAAATGGAGTATAACCTGAACATTTATATATACACACACATGCACACGTGCAAACTTATAAAATTATATGAAGTAACCCAGATTATATAGCCAGAGTACTAATTATGAGGCTATCAAGTTATGTAAAATACTGCAGAATCTAAGAAACACTTCAGTTC